GTGCAGGGTAAGAAGGATCAGGAAAGGGCTCGAGCCAATGGCTTTAACGACGAGAGACTGTTAAACAAATAAGGCAACAAAAGCTGAGATAATAAACTGCGAAGAGATCGCATGATCGAGGAATTTACCAGAAATTAACTTTCACACACGGATCTCTACTCCGAAAATGAAGTACTATTATTAGCTGCTATTTTCCCCTTTGCCCGTTCTAAGCATGAACGGCGGAATAGCCTTGAGTTAAAAAATTTTAGCTTGAACAGAATAATCTGCCTTCCTTTTGCCGAAGACGAATGCGCTAAAAGCCCCCATAAATGACACGTTAACATAAAAACCAGTTTTTTTACTTGAATCGACTTGAACCGTAAAAATGATGATTAACAGATATAAGATGAGGTAAAAGATTTAAGAAGATGAGGTAAAAGAAGAAAACTGGATAAAATAATTATAGCATAGGGTTACAGGCTTCAAGAATTCCAATAAAAAAAGCATTTTCTTGCTAACGAACCGTTTTTCTGTGCGGGGAAACCGTATTTTGAAGCATGTGAAGGGAAACCGCATTTTCCAAGAACAGTTATTCAAGCTTAAAAATTCACAAAACTATGATTATTTCAGATTAATCTGAATAAACCACAGCTAGACTGAGGATACAGAGATCCGTTAAAAGGCACAACCATCGTCAGAACAAGCAACAGCAGCAGGTTGAGTATCATCAGAAGCAACAGCAGCAGCGGTAGGTTGTTGTAAAACTTTTTCTTCCATTTTGGCAACGAAGTTTGTCAGCTCACTGATAAAGTGTTCATAGCTAGCTAACGGGCGCAGCTGCTCACGTATCCACTTAGAAATCTTCGTGGCATTCGGGTTCTCTCGTGTTTGCTGCAGTCGTTCGTCGAGCATCAGAATGGAGCCCCAATCGGAGCGATGCCGCAAACACCTTCAAATACAGTACAGTCATTTTGGTTGTCCTACGCAATATTCCAAATCTATAACCATTTTTCCACGCTTTAACCATTCAAATCGCATTATCTGCCTAACCCGTCATCCATCAACTGCATAATGTCCGACTGCTCAGTATGAACCAAACTTTATTGAACAGTCTTTTTTTCGGTGCTGTGGGATTTAAACCAGTCAGAAGCTCTTTCTTTATAACTTTCGGATGGAGGTTGTGACGCATATTTATCTCTCGGCCATGATAAACATGCGTATATTTACTTCATGGTTAAGATAAACGTTAGCTTCATTCAAATCAATACTTCCGAGTGTTAGAGAAAATATAAATCACTGTAACAATCTAGCGCTGATAACAATATACATTGCAAGAGACTGTTAGGCCTTGTTCCACAGTATCTCATAAAAAACATTACCTTCCCAGTGCTTGATTGAGGGCTCGATATGCCTGCATTGTATACCACTGGTCGCCAGATAAAATCTGCAATTTTTTGCAATATTCATCGTTGTATTTCTTTTTCTCGACAACCTGAAAAGTGAAGGAAGTTGAAATAAATAGCAACGCGCACCAGACTAGCTGGTGCGATCATGCGTTTTGTGCAATTCAGCCCATCGAACGATTGCCATTAATGATTTTCACTGCTTTGTACTTTAGTATATGCAAAAATAGTTCAAACATTGGAAAGCAGCTAAATTCACGCACCAGCGCATGAAAGCTGAATTCGAAACCTTGAAAGGTGAATATCTTTCCGTGATTCCCGAGTTAATAGTTTACCCGTAAAAAACTTTCACTAGCCCGTAGTTGATACCCGAGGGCGCGGGAACGCTGAATTTGGGTAGGCAAGGTTGAGCGTGGGTAGGGGGTTATTACCCTAAAATTTCAGCCTTCTGGACTCCGTGGTCCCCGAGATGTTAATTTACCCGTAAAAAAATTTCACGGGGCCATACGTGATGCCCGTGGGTACGGGAAGGGTGAATTTGAATGGGCAAGTTTGAACGTGGGCAGGGGGTCATTACCTTAAAATTTCAGCCTCCTAGACTTCATGATTCCCGAGATATTAATTTACCCGTAAAAAACTTTCACGGGGCCATCCGTGTTACCTGCGGGTACGGGGAAGCTGAATTTAAATTTGCGGAGTCACGCGT